GTCTAATGCTCATTTCGTATCCTAATGGATCTCCGCCTGCGTATACGAGCTTTGTTCTTCGTGCGCGAGGGAAAACGCGTCAAGAGTTTATACACACACATACATATCTATACATCGCAGTGGGTTTGATAGCGTGGCTGTCGCTGAAGTGATGATGGATGACCTCTTCCCTCCACCTTCCATTCCTCCCCCTCCCCTTTTTACACAGGTAAGCAGTCTGGTTGGGGGACAAGGGGAAACGAGATTCCTTTTTCCGTTGTTACGACAATCGTGATTAATGGCAGCTATCTCTTGCGAACAGGTGCCACGAAATCATGCTTAATCCTTCTTGCAAAACCTTTTGCTAGACTTTAATTCAGATATTTCCGCGGAAATGCTCAATAAATCGAAGTCTTCATCGAAATAACGATAATGAGCGGTTAATTCGATTTTATCAGATTTGTGTTACCGATGAAATTGCGAAAAACGAAGATACTTGATCACTTTAATGTGACACGTTGTTTTATCTTGATTGATTTTGAACGTGGAATTTATCTACTTAGACGTTTTTTTAATACGTTCAGGACGGTGTGACCCACCCCGGTGGGTCATCGATGTTCTTGTTTGCTGACATGACTCATCGATGGGTCATTCAAAATGATGGAAAAAAAGATTGAGTAGATGGTGTAATCCAGCGGTGGATCACCACATTTTCAAATTACATACTTAAAAATTAAGTACCTATTAATGATAACACACACTTCAGTCATAAGAAATACTAGCAGTAGTGAGCGTTTCGTGAATTTCCCTGCCGTTCTAAACGTGTTAATCTGTGCTTTACATTCAAATGATTCTGAAATTCAGCAACTTTTTAGTTTCTTCTTATTCCTCGAATTTGGTTCTATATTTCATAGTACTGTAGTTTGTTTTTTAAATTTTATTTTAATACAAGTAAAACAGAATTTTGTATGTTATATATTTAAAAATATAACAACTACCATCATAAAACTTTGTTAAAAAATTAAGTAAAAAAATTTTTTAAATTACTTTAAATTAAATTGTTCTCCTTTAAAAGTAGTCACACCAATAATAACTACATCATATTATGTCACCAATTTTTCTCTTCATTTACGAGATATTCAGTTAGACGTAAATACCTACTTACAGTTCAAGTATTTTTTTGTTTTATCAAATCTTGTATTTTTACTGATATATGATACTAAATTTATAAATGTAATTTAAATCATATAATATATACTTTCTGTACGAACATAAAGAGTGTCTTAACACTTACGAACGACAGTGTACATATATATAGATCGTGAATTAAGGCGTAGATCACGCAAGACTCTCTCCTCTCTCAAATCAAGAAGAAATCACGCTCGTTTCCGGTAACGTTTCTTCTGCCTTGATATACACGATTATTTTGGTCCGGAGCACTCTTCATTCAGCTCTGATCGTGGCGAAAGTGGCATCGTGGATAACGATCTACCTGTTGTTTCGAGGGTAGCGTGCGCCTAAAGGCAGATGCGCCATGAGCTCGTTCTTGAATCGATTGATCCACGCACGAACGTGATCGCGATGCGTTCGTATACATTAACGGCCAAAAATCAAGGCTGTTGCAAAGTACCATTTTAATCGAGACGTTTGGATAATCTTAAGAGCGAGATAAATTGAGGAGATAATTCGTTCTGTGTTCACATTCTTGCAAGATGTATTTATTTATGTACTTTCATTTATTTTACAATAAACAGTTAAGACAATATAAAGTTACAAAAACAAAAAAAAAGAAGATTCGATATTAGGGGCAGCCTTGAAAGCACTAGTTTTAAACACTCTTGAAACAGGTATTACCTAAGGCACTAATTTTATAGATGGAATCACCAGAACTTATTTATTTACACAATTGAAAAGAAATAAAAAGGGAAAGGTGAGGGGAGTGAGAAGAACGAGAAGAAACAGAACGCTGAAAGAGAAAGCAAGAATTAAATAAAGAGAAAGATGCTTGGGATTTGATTTTCTAATACTTGAAACATTTCCTTCGCGAAAACAGCGCGTGGCAATTATTCTTGCGAGATTAGAGCATTCAGGAAAATAGCGAAAGAAGGTTTTTAATCTGAAAATATGTTTTAAAAGTAAAATTGAAGGGAAGGAAAAAGTATTAGTATTTTTAATGCTGGAAAAATCTTTGAAAAATAAAACTAAAGAATTATATTAATAAAGTAAAAATTTAAGGTGATCAATGATGTTGGACTTTTGCACCGTACTGTACCGATCAATTCATCGCGTCGATTACGCTCGTGTGCACGTGGGCCGCGTTTTATGAAACACGCGTTGGAT